GGGGGAGTTGGGGGTCAAGATAGAAGTAAGGGTGTGATGAAATTAAAACAATTGCATGTGCCATGAAGGTTTCTTTGAAGTTTAACTTGAAAAATAATAATTGTGTTTTTAAAAAGAATTAAAAAATGGCTGTGCTGGAATTAGGAAGAGCATCATGGAGGTGCAGGAATATATTGGCCATTTTGTCAACCCAATAAGACTGAGTAAAAATAAATAAGATCCTTTTCCCTATGCACCTTTCAGAGGATTGGTAGTGATACACAAGTGGTTGTTGGGTCAGTTCATGCATATTTAAGGACTGTTTGATACTAATAAAAATGAGCAGGGAGCGACATCCTCAAATGAGACCTTATTTGATATGGATTTAATATAGTTAAATTTTAATATGACATTGAGTGGTAAATCGAAAAGAAAGAAAAAAATACTCTCTTCTTTCCTGCTAAAAAGTATAATAAAATACATCTTCATTTTCAATTTCAATTTTATGACCAAAAAAAATGCTTACAAACTTTTAATATTTGTTATTATAGTCCATTAGCATATGTATCGAGTAATTAATTATCTGAAAGCAACACCTAACACCCCTAATGGAGAGTTGTGTTCTCGAGCATGCATATTGTTTTAAGGACGTTATGAATCATGTATAAACATAATAAATTAAATGATTATCTGAAATAATAATTGTAAATAAAAGTCTACAAGAAATTGCGACATCTGGTTTAGAAAATTAAGGCGGTTGAAAGAACTCATTATATAATTATAGTAGTGGACTCATATAGGTGAATAAATAATGCTATATTCAGTAACATTTTTTTTTTCATTTATTTATATTCAGAAACGACTTACGTGCAATAAATACCATGATTACCTAGTTAATTAAGTAAGAATATATATATATATACTAGTAGTTGCTTTCTTAAATAAATAATTCTTCGAAAACCAAACTGAAACCAAATTCGTATGTCACTAGTTCTTGGCTTCTTGCCAAGGGGCCGTCGACCTATATTAATTTAAATATGGATTGACATTTTTATTTGTATACCATATAAAAAAAATGGAGTGAAAAGTATTGAATATTTAAAGTTTTTGAGTCCGGTAAGAAAATACTCACATTTTGTGTTACACCGAATAAATAAACTTATTATAGTTAATTATGTGATCTAGTAAGGTGAAATTAAATATTAATTAATCAATAGTTAAACAAGAGAAGTTTATGCTGAAAACTGTTAGAGAGGTTAGAAGTCTCACACGGGTGGTCTCCTTATATGGACTTGGACAATCATCTCTTCATGAGCTAGTTTTGAAGTTGAGTTAGGCAGACCTCTCCTCATAAGCTAGCTTTTGGAGTTGAGTTAAGCCCTGATACCATGTAAAAAAATCACTTGAATATCACCAAAAGTCAATCAACTATTAATTTTTTCTACAAAAAATCACTCAATTTTATATTATTTTCATATAAACTCACTAAACAATTTTGTATTTGTTATGAAAATGTCAGTAACTTAATTTACTTATATATTTAACATATATTTTTTTGTTACTACGGCCTACACAGGCAGGCACATAATCAACGCACCCATTCTAATTAATAATGTCATGAATATTCAGAATCATGGAGTATTATCTTTGAGGTTGATATGTCAAAGAATGAACCAATATGGACCTCTCGTCTTTGTGTGATTATTATTAAAAAAGAGAAACATAAATGTCAGGCTATGTATATTATCAAGTGTAGTGGGGAAGTGTCCACCGGCGAAATTCAATAATTGGATTAAAAAAACTATATACTATACAGTTAGCATCAGCAGCATATAGTGAGAGGGCAAGTCCAACCCCAAACATATTTTTTTATTTTTTCACGAGTCAACGACCATGTCTGCTGCCTTTTTTTCTCCAATTTCTGCGTTTCTTCAACTTATTCAAGAGTTGCTCCTTTCACCTTTTAAAAAAGGCAAGTCAATCAATTATGCTTGTCGGACAACATATTTTGAGTCAATTTTTATTTATTTTTTAAAAAATCTGGTTAATTAAAACAAGGTCGAAAATCTGGTGGAAATTTGATGATATGACAAGTAGACATTTGGACATAAATTTGATGATATTAGAATAAAAAAGTATTTAAAACTTAAAATTGTATTTTGACATGTATTTCACTTGAAATAGTGGTTGATGATAGTTTTCTCATCCTCTCCCCCCATTTTTAAAAAAAATAATAATTGAAAACCCTCAACTTCAAGTTGGAGTGTAAAGTTGACTACAATGTATTACCAAACAGCTTTTTTATAAATAAAAATTTGAAGAAAAAAACTGTATTCCCTAACCGGATGGAGGATATACGTTCATTTTTATTTGTACTCTATAAATTATAAATTTTGTATTCTCTGTAATAATAAATAAAATATATGTTTTATTATAATAAATTCATATTAATAAATATATAGTCTTAGTTCTTAATTATTGAAAGATGATTTGGAGAATGAAAAATTAATGTTAAACATACTCTAAGACATAAGTTTTTCTTTTTTTAATCTTGATATGCTGAAAGTAAAAATATACTTTTGGTAAAATTGAAACGAGGGAGTATATAACTGCCTAATGTCGCATACGGGTGCATTTTGGAATTGTGTCAGCAATTATTTTAAAATACAATTATGGATAGTTGGTGAGCAAGTGACTTGGCAATAATTACATATAAAAATATTTACTTCACAAGATTCCATATTAGTATTTCATTATTAATGATTAAATATCAGATAATTACAAGGATATCATAGTTTAAAGTTTGACATGAACTTGAAAAACTAATGCAAATAATTAAGGTCCAGAACCCCTTGATGAGTGGTTTGACAAACAAAATGAATGCCATTGCCATCGAGGACTCCACCCCTTAAATACTCTTTTAGGCAAGTACTGGTGAAGGCACAAATATGTAGTAGATGATTTATCGTCTGTTTGATTAAGTTTTTAATAAATTAAAAATAATTAGTTTTTTTTCTATTGAAAAGGTTTTGATTAAGTTTTTTAGGGAAAAATAAGTATTTTTGTAGTAGCACTTCAGAAGCTGAAAATGCCAAAAACACATTTGGACCTTGGCCAAACACAATTTCCGCGAGTATTTTTCAGATTGATTAGTCAAACACAAACTGCTACAACACAATTATCTCGTTAACTGATGGATCTTTTCTAAAGCAGTGTTCTCCATTTTGTATTTTTTTATTGAAGTTGTGGAACTTTCTCAGGCATAACACAATCAATTAGAAGTGTCATGAAACTGTTAAGATGGGTATAAAAGAAGGATTAGAAGACAATGCCTTGACACATTATTTATTTACATGAAGTGTAAATAGCAAAAGTTTGTTTGGGTATGATACTATTACAACTTTACAGATGACAAAACAAATGGCTACAAAGTCCAAAATTTCCACACCAGCAATCAGCTTTGATTAACCTACAGACCCTTCAAGCTTCAAGCTCATTAATTGGTTCACCTCAGCACCAAATTCATCAGGGAGTTCATTGAAAACATCTCTGCAAAACCCAGAGATCATTGCAGCCATTGCTTTCTCATAGTCGATTCCTCTCTGCTGGAAGTAGAACAACTGATCTTCACCAATCTTTGAAGTTGTGGCTTCATGTTCTATCTGGGCAGAGGGGTTCTTGGCCTGTTAAAATGATGTCATATGTAAATATAGAAACAGAAGAGCAAATACGCAGTTACATTAGATTCCGAGTTCCAAGTAGAACAAGAGTTGTATATACACAAGCAGCAGTTACCAGGATAACTACAAAATTCATGTAGCATGTGACTTAGAACTTAAAAGCCACACCAAAAGTAACAAATGTTGTCTTCTTTTGACCCCTATGCACTAATCTATTTCTATATATATATAGATACTACAGAAGCTTTCTGAGAGATCCTAAAATATAGAAGGATGCATCGGGTAAATCCAATCAAGAATATTAGAGACTATAGACTGCTTTTAAATTAGTTTGCACTAGTTTCTCTGAAAATTCACATGGATGGGAGAGTGTTTCCTGCGGTATGTTTTACAAGAAAACCATCACATGCCAAATTTAATGAAGGTTAAGTTTCCTCGAGTTAACAAAATTTAAGATAATTATCAAAGGTCACTGTATTAAACTATATTCATTAGTAAACGTACTTCATCTGGAGTTCTGGACCAAGCATAGCGATAAGTTTATCAAACAGACAGACATGCAGTTTGCTGCTTGTTTAAAACATACAACACATCCATAAAAATTACTATTTGCACCTTCTCCATGCACAAGTGCACACTAATCTTCGGTATCGGAGGCTTAATTCAGCTCCAGAAAAATCAACCCACATCCACACTGTCAAGCACGGGGATACAACAGTTGATGCTTTTATCCAACAAGAGATCCATGAACATATTAAAAGTTAAAATAACACCTCTTCTCATGACAATGAACTTCAAATGAAAGTAAGCAGTACCCTTCCCCCCTCCCCTTTTTTTTCATTTTTGATTCACCATGAGTAACATACAAACCACTAGTTTTATGGTCTACATGAGAACATTCTCAGACACCAATGAAAGAGAGACTATTTATTGACCTGCCGGACAGCTCAAATATTTCCAAGCTGAAGGTCCCAGCATGCACCTAATTGACTTGTTTTTAGACGTAACTAACAACAATGTGTACATTTGTTGAACCTTTTCTTCTAAGCTCTTGTCGAATGATTCTAATTCAAGGTGGAATCCTTCCTTCTTTTTTCCTTTTCCTTTTCTGCAATTGGAATAAGGGAGATCATGGATAGGGGTGGTAGACTAAAAACATTGCTCCTGTACTATGAGAAAGATAAATGGAACTTAATGATTTTCCTTTTTTGATCAGGTAAATAAAATTTTCATCAAAGATTGGAACTTAATGATTTTTTTCTTTGATCAGGTAACTAAATTTTATATTAAAGATTGAAACTTAATGATACCAGCATCATGCATAAATCAGGAGACCTCAGAATACAGTGAAGTACACTGTGATCATAGAAAGATCATGTTTTCCACCTAAAGAGTAACAAGGCCATATGTCACAACTAAATATTGTACTTCTAAAGGTAGAGAGCTAAAGTTACATCAAGAATTATTTTATCATGCGGAGATAGAAAGCAAAATTAAAGTTCACTGAGAGCTAGTTACCTGAATATATGGATAAGTGTTGGCTGCAGCTTTATCACCGATGAGCATTGAATCACACTGGGAGGAATTCCGAGCATTCTCTGCACTTGATAAGACCTGAACTAGTCCTCTGTAACAGTTTCTAGAATTTCCTGCAGAAATACCCTTTGAAATAATCCTACTCCTCGTATTCTTCCCTTTGTGTATCATCTTCGTTCCTGTATCTGCCTGCTGATAGTTGTTGGTCAATGCCACAGAATAGAATTCACCAACCGATTCATCACCTTCTAACACTACACTTGGATACTTCCAGGTAATAGCTGAGCCAGTCTCAACTTGTGTCCATGATATCTTCGATCTAGCCCCAGCACAAATTCCTCTCTTTGTAACGAAATTATAAATCCCTCCTCTCCCTTCCTCATCTCCAGCGTACCAATTCTGCACGGTTGAGTACTTAATCTCTGCACCTTCATGGCAATACAATTCCACCACAGCAGCATGCAACTGATTTGTATCATATGAAGGTGCTGTACACCCTTCTAAATACTCAACAAAACTTCCTTCATCCGCAACAATCAAAGTCCTCTCGAATTGTCCAGTTTCCATTGCATTTATTCTAAAATAAGTAGATATTTGCATAGGACACTTGGTGTTCTTGGGTATATACACAAATGATCCATCACTAAACACAGCTGAATTAAGAGCCGCGTAAAAATTGTCTTCTGGGGGCACAACTCTAAACAAATACTTCCTGACTAAATCTGGATACTCCCTAATAGCCTCAGAAATCGAACAAAAAATCACACCAGACTTCTCTAAAGTCTTCCTATGAGTTGTGGCAATAGAAACACTATCAAGAACAGCATCAACTGCAACATTTGCTAAACGATTTCTTTCATTCAAAGGAATACCCAATTTATCAAAATACCTAACAAGCTCAGGGTCAGCCTCATCAAGACTATCTAAAGTTGGTTTCTTTTTAGGTTCTGAATAATAACAAATATTCTGAAAATCAATTTCTGGGTACTGATTATCAGACCATTTAGGCTCTTTCATTTTAACAAATTTCTCATACGATTTCAATCTATACTCAAGCATCCATTCAGGCTCATTCTTTCTTGATGAAATCAACCTTATAGTTTCCTCCGAAAGCCCTTTTGGCAGCGCAAAAGATTCAATATTTTCATTGAAACCCCATTTATAGTCTCTTTTCAAGAATTTCTGAAGTGGGTCGTTTTCATTTGAGATTGATAAAGATGATTCTTTACCTGGAACTTCAACAGTTGCCTTGGCATCAGCAGCTTTAATCTTGAAATTACCTGAATTTGAGATTCTGGGGGCGGGTGGATTAGGCAAAAAGTTAGACCCTTTTGGGAGTTTAGGCTGCTCAGTGATGGATTGAGGACAGAAGCGTGAGATTCCATTGGTGAGAAGAGAAGCCATAGTAGATGCTTAGAAGTTATCGGAAGATAGAAAGAAGCAGGATGAAAAGGCAAATATAAATTTTATTTGTTTTTTTTTTTGTGGTGTCTGATCTCAGATGTCGTATGCTGACCACGTGCCTCTTCTCAAAACCTAAATTACCAAAAAAAAAAGTAGTAAACCTAAATTATTTTTGTTGCATTTTATGTCATTTCTAGCCAACCCCTAATTGAGATGGGTTATCAATTATCATCATTCATGGCTAAGCACATTCCCACAAAAAGAACCGCTACTAGAATTTTACGCACAATATTATTTAAAACGCTCACTTGATAATGATAAAGTCAGAATTTATATTGAAAGTTTTAAAATAAAAACAAGCAAAGAAGTAAATGTAAAAAGAAATTGAAGGAATTTCAATATCTACTACTATAATAATACTAACTAATATAAATAATGAAATTTTCATTGAAAGAGATTTAAATAAACCTTTTGATCCTACCTAATATCATGTTCAACGCTTGAAGGAAGGTACGCTAGAACTAGAAGAAAGGTGAGGCGACAAGTGAGTGTTTTTAAATGAATTTTCTTCGTCACATACAAAATGAAGACTTTAAAATGATATTTTTAGAACCCTTTAATATAACAAAACTAATTCTCCCTTATTGCGTTTTGCCCTGAAGTCGTGAACTGTGAAGGCCTGAAGGGTAGCTTTTGCACAAAAAAAAACGTAAAGAGTTTTTTTAAATTTAATTGAAATAATGGTTAATTTTAGGTCTAATTTTAAAACAATTGTAACAGATTTTCGGATCTTCCCTGCTGCTTCTACCCGTACCTCCAATTCTAGGGTTTTAAGGTAAGTTCTTCTCCTGTGTTTTCTATTCCTTTGTTCGAATTTTTTTTCTGTAAATTCACCATTTTTGTTAGCAATTTAGGGAAGGATTTGGAAGATGGATATCATATCACAGTTACAGGAACAAGTAAATACAATTGCAGCTCTTGCTTTCAACACGTTTGGTACTCTTCAAAGGGACGCCCCTCCTGTCCGTCTATCACCTAATTATCCAGAACCTCCACCTGCTAATCCCACAGAAGACTCAACTAATGTTGCAGAACAACCAAAACAAATGAGTGCTGCTTTTGTTAAGGCTGCCAAGCAGGTAAAACTCCATAGTCCATACCTTAACTTTTTCTGCTTATTCATCAACTAATATGAGCAAGCCACAGACCAGGGTATATGAATAACCTGCATGTACTTCAAGAATGGGGAATTTTCACTTTCTCGGAAGATCAAGATGAACTATTTAGTTTAGATTCGTTTTTTGTGTAAACAGCTTTTTTGTAAATGAGGCTGAAGAAGTGATTGAACTTGTAAAATCCCTTTAAGAATAGGAAGGTATATCCTTGTGTTCCTTGTAAATGTTGTTGATTGCACCTTCTTGGTGCTATATTAAAAATGCACTTACCATTCCTTTTTTTTAAAATCATTTTTGGACAAAATAATGTTTCTTTTTGTCTTCCTTTGACTAGTATGTTTACTTTTGGAAACGTCAACTCTTTAGATTATATCGTGGGGATACTTTATGTTTCTTGGCTCATCATATATGATGTGTATGTGCAGTTCTATACGAGATAACACTAAGTTGTTTCTTGGCTCATCATATCTAATGTGTACATGCAGTTCTATACCAGATGATATTAAGTCTTTGTTTGTTCAGACTTGAGACCTGCGTGGTTGAGTTCAAAGACCTTAGTACTGACTCCTGAGACCAGTGTGGTTGAGTTCAAAGACCTAGTCTTTTGTCCTTTAGTTTAACGACAAATACAATAATGCTATTAGCATCACCAACTACTTGAATTAAAACCTGACTGAATCACATAATGGTGGACAAATTCCAACTACTAGCTGGACAGGATCTCATGCCTCTAGGGATTTTAACTTGAGAACTTGATCTCAGCCTCTCAGGTTTGGGAACCATGACATCTAGGCCAAGTCTCACCGGGTAAACCTTGTTTGTCAAAACCGGAAAACTGAATTCTAGTTTATCGCCCTTTAGCTGTCTTCTATGAAATGTATATGGACAACCCTGTGATTAGTTCTAAGGTGTTCAAGTTCACAGTTATATTTCCCTTGTTTTCTTCTTGGCCTCACAACCAGAGGTTGTCTAAGCTAGCATCCTATCAAACTTAAGCTGCACAGCTGACACTTGAGACTTGACACGCCTTGAGGGTTGTGTGGCTCTAATTCAGACCAATTGCGAATTTGCATTGTGATCCTAAAGTGTATGCTTTGCTACAATGTCATTGTATTAAAACAATCTTCTCTTTTTCTTTTTCTTTTCCTTTTTTGGGCAGTTTGATGCGTTGGTTGCTGCTCTTCCTTTATCAGATGGGGGTGAAGAAGCCCAATTGAAAAGAATTGCAGAACTCCAGGTATTCTTTGTGAATAATTGGTGGAATTAACATATTGACATCCTCTAATTCCGATGTCTTATAGCTTTACAGTATTTAAACTAAAAAAATAAAGAAGGATAAATAAAGATTAATCTGTCTATTTTGGGCTTAGTATTTTGTCTTGTCTTGTTATACCCAAATTCTTACTCGGTTATGTATGTATGTGATGTAGGCTGAGAACGATGCAGTTGGCCAAGAACTTCAAAAGCAACTGGAAGCTGCAGGTAAGAGTTTGTTTTTCCCTTGTTTTCTTTCTGAGAGATAGTGGAAGTTGTTCTGACTAGGCTAAGGTCCAAATTTCCATTTACCTCTCTGTATTATTAATTTTTTGTTTATTCTGAGACTCAGTTTGCTGATTTTGGTGATTTAGAGAAGGAGCTAAAGCAGGTCCAGGAGTTGTTTAACCAAGCAACAGATAACTGCCTGAACTTGAAGAAGCCAGAATGAATAAGGTAGTAGATATTTCCCCTTTGATAGATCTAAGGGGAAAGAATTTGCTTGAGGAGCCCATTCTTGCTGGGATATACCCTGGAGGAACAACAAATTGATAGTGTCCGTCTCTGTTATGGGTACATTTACTAACTGATTATAACTAGGCGTGGTCTGACATTATTATTTTAAGTTCTTGGCCACTGCTGGAGAAATGAATTCAGTATACCATTGTATCTGGTTTAGATCTTTGTTTATAGAATGAAAAGAGGTAGGAATGATTGCGCTTTAAAAGCAAAAATCAGCAGTTTTTTGTCTCTTCACATTCCTTAAATATTAGTGTCTTCTGTGCCACGAGTTCTATTTGGAAGTTGGCTAATTTCTCTGCTCCAGCCCTTGTTGTCAAAAGTAATGCGATTCTCGGACTGTATCTTCCTAAACATGTGATCCCAAAACATGGCAGCTTGCATGCATAATTACCCAAACGAATTGATGGTTTTAATTCGTAGACATATTTTGGGGCGTTAACAATCTCGTTATACTGTCTGGGATACTTTGGAGTATAGATTGCATATCGCCAGATGTACCATATTGAGTGCACTTGCAATATTTTCTTGTTGGTGCTGGAAACGAGGCACGGCAGTAAACAAGTAACAACCATACAAAATACATAGAAAACCTAGACTACCGAAGATGGAAGAGTGAGCAGCAACGAAAAGAAGAATTTACAGTTATCTGGGGTTTGTTGAATGCTAAAATTTAGATAGAACGTAGGTCCAATTATGACTGGTAGCAGGACTTAACTACGTCAGCTGACAATTGGCATCAATAGATGACACTAAAACAGGAGACATATTGAAGACTCCAATAATACATAAGCCATTTTATCAAAAATATAACTATCACGGAAATCACTACATTAGTAAAAATTGCTATTGAAAGGTGAACCAACATTGAGCAACGAGCAAAATAGAGTGTTAAGCATTGCTGAGATAGCCAAAAAGCACACAAGTATAAAATTACATGCCTACACTTCTCCGAGACCTTCAAGTATATCTAGATCTCATATCTAAGTACCAAAATGGCAACACGAAAAAAAACAAACAGCACACAATCAGTTGATCAGAACCATAAATCGTATCCTCAATAAATAGCCTACAAAAGTTTCCAACACCCAAAGATAGTGAAATACACATCTGGATTCCAACTGATAATCTCATGTCCCGCTTATAACATCAATACACAAATCACGCCGGGAAGCACTCAGCAAATCCTTTGACCAGCATATCACTGCAAGGAAGTGAGACGAGTATTCAAACACATCGTTATTTTTTATGAAGAAACTATTATCAGTTTAAGGACCCATTTGGCCATAAAACTAAAAAGATATTATCTAATAGCATTTCACATTCATTTCCATTCCAAAATGGAGATGTGGGTATAAAGTAGCTTTAGTTGATAAATAAGCTCAACGGGTTCATCAAACCTGAGGATGCTGCAAAACTTGCTGCTGCTGTTGAGGTTGTGCGTAATTTCCATATCCAGCATAGCCCGCATAATACTGATTTGGATCCTGAGCAGGGGGAGCATAACCATAACCATCATATCCAGCTGTATACCCATAATAACCAGCATATTGGTTTGGATCAACCTGAGGCTGCACATACCAGATGGAACATAAGATTCAGATTGGTATTTGACTGGGAAGTGCGAAAACCAGAAATTATAATTTTGGCATTACTTACCTGCTGCTTGTTTGCAGGACTTCGACCCCAGGAAAGACGGATGCTTTGTCCACCCAGCTGAGTTCCATTTAATACCCGTATAGCCTCCTCAGCACAACTTCTGCAATAACAAAGATGGACCATGTGTTAATTCTCCAAGCATTGAGATTGATCCTCTTGAGAAGGTTAATTTATTACTATACCTGTCAGCAAACTGAATAAAGCCACACCGCTTGCCTACTGGTATTTTTACATGAAGCAACTGCCCATAATGTCCAAAAATCTGCCTTAGATGTTCATCCGTTATATTGGAATCCAAGTTCCCAACAAAAATCTGCAACCAAAATTCATTTGGATATGAGTACAAGCTAACAGAACATCAAATGATACCAGAAAAAAATGTACTGACAGTGGTATTAGAAGGGTCATCCTCATTTTGAGTTCCAGGTGAACTTTGATACGAAGCT